TACTTTTTTGTCTGTATATCCAGTCTTTTGACTCTAAATCAAATCATCTCCACCATATACTTAGAATGTTTGGAACTCATGGATACAAGTTTCCATAAGAAATATGATACTTAGGCAGCTAAATTATTAGTCTCTAAAACAGGTCATTAAATATCTACATTGTTTGACATATTGTTATTTTTAATACACTGGTAGCCTTTCAGCCCTTTTTTTGGAACATGAGCTACTACCTTTTAAAGTAAATGTGAATTCATTTTTGCCAGCTGATTTCATAGAATGATATAAAACTCTGAAATGAAATCCAGTAATGCAGTCTGTACAGCCACTGATTTTCTACCGTGCTTTCAACAAAAAAAGAACAACTCAAAGCATGCCTTCAGAACAATCTGTTATAAGAATCATAATATTTCTTACTCAAAAAATTTTTATATACTTAGAGAGATGTTTTTTCCCTAAAATTCTATTATGTTTCTAGAAGCAGAATTTAAATATATGAAAGCCTAGTAACTATCTCACCCCCTCTATCCCTTTCCTCTCTACTTCCAACTCACTAATCAGTACAAGCATGTGTGTTTTCTCCCATTTTAAAGCAAGTGACAGGTTAAGTGTTTGCCCCAAAACCAAATGCCATAAATTCTCCAGAGCAACAACTCCCCCAGGCTCTGCTACTTCAAGTGTTTCTTCACCTGCTCCCTTGTCCTTCCCTGAAATCATTTCTGTATGACCTTATCTTCTTCCTAGTTTGTGTGCGCACATATGACAAAGAAATTTTGCAGAGAATCTCAGTCTTTGCCATTTCAATTCATAATTAATTCACTCCTCTTCATTTATTAATTAACTAATTTCTTGCTGAGGTTAAAGTTACTCAAAAAGGAAAAATGTAGAACTTTTTCAATGTGTGAAAATCTCCCAGACATCAGTAAAGAAACATGTTTTGGTGGACTACTTCCCAGAGGAGTCCACACACCACAGCAATGAATAACAGAAATTGAATATTTAGGAAAGCTGGGACCTGACATCTGTTTTGGATTTGTTTGCACTTCTTATTCCTAAGACATGTGAGTCTGATTAGACTCTTTGGAGAAGGAAAACAAAAGCAAACATCTTAACCATTCCTCTATAATCACCCTCAGAGAAAATCTTCACAGCTTCTGAAGGTATGCCTCCCCACCTTCACATCTGTGGATAGTACTTATTTTCTGAGGACCATGAAAGCAATCATTTGCATCTGTATACAAAATACCTTTTATGATCATTAGCACCCTGGAATGGGAAGCTCAGGATTTCAGGGATCTAAATCAGGAATTATAAAGGCAAAACAGACTGTATGTCCCAGCGCAACTTTCCCCGTGGTGGTGCAACACAGTTGTGCAGTTTTGGCCCACAATTTACATATATGAATTTTCCCCTGTATACAGTCTCATCATTACACGGAGCTACACACCACTTTCTATAGGCAATATATTGCAAGGTGAAGGGAAATGAGGGTAAGTGAAGATAATTCATCCATATTACTTGCAGAGAAGTTTTTGAATATTACCACTAGCCACATCTGGTGTATTATGCCTGCCTCTTGTTCTCCCTACCCTCTTCTGTGATTGCATGTTACACACTGATTTCAGATTAGGCTTGCTCTTCTTTCTCCTCGTTTCTATGTTCTTTTAGAAAATAGGTCTTTAGCTCATTCAGCTATGCAATATGCATATTTCTAAAACAAAAAATAAGGTCAATCAAGGTCACCAATTACTAATGGAGCCTATTCTAAAATTATATAGCCCAGATGTGATTTTTTTTCTTTTTTAATCAAATGTAGGACAAGAGTAAAGAGTACTTGAATTGACACATTAATATAGGAGGCAGACTATGTGAAGAAGGAATTAGAGTTATAATCAAAGCCTGCTGCATAAGAGCAGACTGCTGCAGCTATATTCGGTGGGGTATGATTTGAGCCATCTATCCACATTTTGATTTCTTCATTGCTTTGTTACTGAAGGCTTATATTGTATTTCTATATACAGAGATACACAAGCTGTAAGAGAGAGATCACAGTTACTGTTGGAAAGGAAACAAGTTACTGAGTGCTGAAAACCACATTTTAAATTAAAATTATATTATGGTTTGAGGCAATTCATACTTCTTATTGTAAATGAGTTTTTATTTGTATATACTTAGAGCAGGAAATCATTAATTATGCTAATATATTTGAGGGAAGCTTACTTATACCATTAGTGTTGAACTCAAGGAAGGATATAAGAAACAAATTGCTGAAGAATGTGTGACCATTCCTGTACAAAATTAAGCACATAAAATTGCAGTAACTTGTTTCCCACAACTTTCAGTAACTTTTGAGGAACCAAGACATTAACCCCGACGGTTTTTATTGGTTTCCATGAAATTTCTACTATAGACTGCACATGAATTATCTGCCTTCCCACATTTGCTGTTCAGAAAGAAAACAACCGTAATTCCCTTTCCTTCTGTTGTTCATGTCATACTCACATGCAGCCTTCCTTGTACCCCTCTATTGAGGTCCCTCAAGTTTTATGCCATTGTTGCAACTAATGCAGTACCTCTATTCCACCTTATATTTTAGGACAAGCCAAGATAAGGGCCTGGAAATATCTACCAGATAAAGGTTGTACAGACCTAGCAGCAAAACTGAAAGAAAAAGAAAAAGTTAACTACTTATGGCTCTTCTGAGGGCTTCAAAAAGCCAAGACAGCCTTTGTGTACCACACATCACTAGGGTAGTGGCACCTTTTTCCTACCAAGTACTGTTTGTTGCCAGAACAATTACATGGATTACATTAAGCAAATTTTATTGTTCCTAGATGGAAAGATCTGAACCTGAATCAAAGTGTAGTGCTTTATCAGTTCTTTCTGAAGTAACATTTTTGTTTTTCTTCCACATATCAATTAAAGAGATTCATTTGGGATTACTGAAAATGTTATCAATTTATATGAAAACATTAAATGTGAAAACATGAAGTTGTGGCAGTTCAAATGATAAGTGGAACAAGTCTGCATTTTAAGTTTTCCACATAGAAATCAGTTCATCACATATATCTAATTAAGACATAATAGCTAAAGAAACTATCATTCATTTCCCATTCTATTCTTATGGTAATGCTGGTATAGTTTGGGAATGTATTGTCTCTGCTTGAACCACTTCTGGAGTTCCATGCATGCTGTATATTGAGAATAAAACACCATGTCATATTTTGAAAATGGCATTTATGGTCTATTTATGGCTTCACAGTTCAAGGTCACCTACTATGATGTGTTTATCCAGCTGTGTGCTGGACAGTTTGTCCAGAAGGATCCTGTGAGAGACAGTATCAAAAGCTTTGCTGAAGTCCAAAAAGATTACATCAACTGGCTTCCCTTGATCAACTAGGTGGGTTACCTTGTCATCAGGTTGGATAACCAGGACTTCCCCCTCATGAAGCTGTGCTGGCTGTGACCAGTGACTGTGTTGCTCTCCAGGTGTTTTTCAATACTTCCATGATTTTACATTCCACTGAAGCGAGCCTGATAGGGCTGTAGTTCCTCCTTCTTGCCCTTCTTGAAAATTAAGATGTTAACCTAATATGATAAAATACAAGAGTATATAATTAACTAAGAATTTTAAGCATTTATTTGTAAAGAGATTCTTGCATTCCTGGAATAATTATTAAATTCTATATGAAAAAATGGTTCTTCTAACTTTATGTCTTTATGCAAAACAAATGCTCCTTATAATTTTAAGCTCAAATAATTTTGTTGTTGTTGTTGTTGAAAGGAGCACATTTTTTAAACAATGAACTAGAAAAAGATACTTAGGAACAAGCTATTAAATCCTACTACATGTGGGAAGGTGGGTCTAAATCTCTTGGACATTTTTCAGCCAGCAATATGTCAAACACTGGTTATGTTATGAGCTTTATTTCATCTGAATAGCAGGAAAATTCTTACTGATTTAACTTCATTTACTATGCAAAGCCATTGGCAAATTTAAAGAATAGATTTATTAGAGAGTTTTCCTGATCCCTCTAGGGACAAATTTTCCCTTTCTTTTCAGAAAGATGTGCAGAGCTGTCCTACTACAAATATTAACCTCTTAGCATCTGCAATAATAATACATTTTCCTTCTTCTCTCCTAATAAAAATAATTCAGTTGTTGAGTACTTTAATTATTACTTCTTAGTACTAATGACTCTTTGTACAAGTGGAAGTAATAACACTGAATTATCAGTACTAATGTACTCCAATAGTGAAACTATATGGCATCAGGTACTGCTCAATGCTGTGAATTTTATTATTTTTAGCAGCATATGTCTACAAGAAAGCCCTTATTTGCCTACAGATGATCAATAGAAACAAGTGATGAACCAAGTCCTTTAAAGATATGCATATTGTTTACTAAGAATTAGCAAGTAAGACATATGAAGACCACATATCTGTATTTGAAAGTACATACAGGCACTAGCTACAGTTTGGTTACCACCTCTCCTGCAAAGTCAGGCAGAGAAGTGCTGTACTGTTAAACTCATCCTACCTTCTGATAGGTTCACTATGTGAGCTTAGAAAATCTCAGTTTAAGTTCAGGGTGGTTCCTTGCTGCACTTGTCAAAGGCACCTCACACCCTAATGATGCTGATATATTCTAAGGGACTTCAAAGCACTGATCACCATCCATTTCAAAAGGAAATGCTTGGCTATTTCAGAAATACCTATAATTTTTGTCTGGCCATGTTCATCCCAGAATCCCAGTGCTTTATAAACACTACTGAACATAGCACAGGTATAGACAAATAAACCAAATCCATCACACAGGGGTTCTCTTATGAAAGGCAAAAAAGGTCTTTCTTCTATTCTAGCCAGAAGACCAGAGTTCTGGTGACTGCTACAAGTAATTTTTTAAATTACAATAGCTAATAACAAATGACAACTCCTTTATTTCTTCTGCAATGTCAGCTGCTAAAACTAGTCTCTTTTTTGTCGCATTTCTCTTTGAGCAGGTTTCGAAAGTGGGATCCAGAGCCATGTGTTCAGCATCCGGACGGGAAGAGAAGCATGTCCAAGCCTGTCATGCTCAGGAGCCATGGGCAAAAGGAGAGGTGCCTGAACAGGCTGAGGAAAAGAGGCTCTTGCTGAGTCTTCAGTCTTAAATGACAGGGTGGGATTTTGTGAGAAATCAGGCAGCTGGAAGCCAAATGTTTAATAGAATAGGTAAAGTGTATTCCAGCCCTGAAGGTACTCTTTGATTTCTTCTTTCTTCGAACAATTTTCCTGACCCTCCTGAAACTTCCCTTTCTCTTCTGCTGTTTGGCTCACTCTACTCTCACCACACTTCTCAACTCACACCAGTTGCTCTACTTGTGAAAGATAATTTCATTTTATATTGGTAGAGCAAGGCGAGGCAATGCCCCAGACAGAAAGCTACAGAAGCCTTTGCTGGGCATGGTTTTGCAAAGACCTTTGCACCCCAGTATTTGTATGCACACACTGTTTTCCTCTTTCAACTCAACCAACCCCAAATCAGAAGAAGAAAATATTTCTGAAAAAAAATATTATGAAACTCCATAAATTAATTTCAAGCCAAAGCTGTTTGGGTCCCCAAAGTATAGGCAACAACACTGGCAACTATTGTAATAGGCTCTGCAGTGAGTAGTTCAAGGGAGTCAAGGTGATCGACAGCTCTCCCTCGGCTAATAACCACTGAAACGGAGCCATTTTTTTCTACTGCTGAAGTACTCCTAGAGAAGCTTAAAAGAGAGACACAAACTTCTTCTTTTTCTCCGCTTTAAAAATACTTGTACTATTACCTGTTTAGAGCCCTCTGTTTAGAGCCCTTTAGTGCCCCCACAGGGCACTTCTGTGCTTTCTAACCAGATTTTGGTGGTATATCATCATCTGTACAATGAGGCATATGTCACCCTTGCAACAGACTTCCCTGCCCTTCTATTCCTTTTAAGTCATACAATAATTAAAAAAAGAAATACAAGTAAGATATGATATTGGAAAAAAACCAAAAGGACTTTGTTTATACTCGAGAACAGTTCCCAAGACTTGAGGAACATTTCTGAAATTGCAGAGGAAACTTTTCTCCATTCCAAAATCTAGATATATTTTCACATATTCCTTGACTGATTCATGGAATAGTCAGTAAACTAATGGAATAGTCCTAAGAGATTTAAAAGGATTATACCAATTAAGTTAGCTTAAACACTGGCAACACATTAAAATCATCAAAGTTGTTATGCATTTCAGAAATCATAAAGTTATTTAAGTCTAAAACAGATTGTATATTCTGTTATAATATAGTATATTAAGAAACAGCTGACTCCTTTTTTTCTTACAATAAGCTCCGGGCTGAAATCTATTCTTTGCCCACGCAGTTTGACTACACTTTTTCCCCTCAACAACAATAATCCATCTCTCAACAGCATGTATTTTCCTTAATGCAAAGAGACTCACCAAGAAGCAATGTGCTGATGTCTTTGGTGGAATTTGGTGCTCAGCATATGCAGCACTCAGATGTGCTATGAATATCAAGTCATCTCTAAATTTGCTCATTCCAATAGCACAAATCAGCAACATTCTCAACAGATTTTTCAAAGCATTCATCACAGAAAAAAATTTTTAGTTCATCTTCCATGAACTCTAGTACTGTTTTACTATCACAGCAATACAAATCTGTCTTCCTAAACTTATGGGAACATGTTCTTTATTCTATCACAAACAAGACTAATCTTAAAAGTTAAGATTTTTTCATTATTTTCTTCACCACAGCTGTGCTCCAACTACATTAGTGCTTTAAGTACAGCCGGCCAGCCAGCTGTGCAACTGCTCTGTCAGCAACACAGAATCTTTTAAACCCGAAACAATAAAACGTTTAAAGATGTGTCAAACTCTTCAGTGGTAAACAGAATACTGAATGGGAGGCACTGTTTGTTGGTTAATGATGGGGGAGAGATATAATTTCCTACCCATGAAAACAGATGAATTTTTTTAGGACTTGCATTGTCATACTATGGCATCCTAATTTGCAGCACACAGCAGTGCGTGAAAAAAGACTCACATAAAAGAAGGCATAACATAACTGGGCTGAATTCCATATGCCTTTGTCAGGCAAAAGCCATCGCTCAATTAAAAAGCACAGAATTTGGCACACAGACCTTGAGCATTTGTCTAATATAGAATGATGTATGGTTTTCTAAAATATGAAAAGTTGAAACTAACCAATTTCATCTTTCCATTTTATAAAATAGTGGAAGTATGAATGTTTATATTCCTTCTATAATTCCAACTTCTAATGCAACTGTAAATATTGTGAAAAGACATATAAAAGTTTAAGACTGCAGGCTCCTGTTTGCAATCTGTCTGCAATAATATCTCAGGGAAATGCCTGACACAGGTTAATTATATATTGCAAAAAAATTATGTATATTTTTTATTCAACTTTGAGTTCAACTGATTGAATTTTCTCTTGCTGTCAGCAGATAGGAACTGTGAACATGAAGAACTAAAAGAGAGCCCACAAAATCATCTAGATTAATCTGCCTCTCAGAGGCAGATAAATGCCACTTACTGCCAAGTAGAATGATTCTCTGGTCTGTGACTTTTCAGTTTTAAGTTGTACACAACGGACAAACAACACCTGATTTTTTTTTCTGAAAAAAATTGAAGCGTTTAATTCAGTAAGGATTAAATATTCCCTATTAAGTTTAAATTGCAAAAGGGGGCCATTACAGAAAACAGCCAGTTTCACTTATCTTTACAACATCAATAGTGCCATTCCATGATTCCTGAGTAACATTAAGTATAATGTCAGCTTCCAATTTTGATATCTCTAAAGTCATTACTACAATTCTTCCCAAGGTGACAAATTCCTGCTATTTGTAGAGATATATGGAAATTTTTTGCTGCCTTTTCTACAAAAGAATGCAAGGACAGGGCTGACTTCAAGAAAAGTAAAAAAACTTCCCAGAAAAATCTCTGATGGGAAAGCAGATAAGGCAAAAAGACTCTGAGCTTAAGCATAACCCCATTTCCATATTCAAATGGCCCTTTCTTCCAAGATAATTTGCGGGGTCAAAGTCCATGCAGCATCAGAGAGGTGCTAAGTTTTCTTGCTCATCTAACAAGATGAACAAGCCCTCAGATACCAGGAAAGGTTGAGCTGACTTCCCTATATATTTGTACAGAAGCAAGCTAGTGCAGGAAGAAGTTTCATAGTCTGGAGCCATTTACTAAGTCAGACTGATACTCAGGAGTTAATCCTCATGATGGATAGCTTCATCACTCAGAGCATTTCCAGACTTTCACTATCAAATCTGATATGCCCTCCAACAGCCTGTCTGAGCAATGCAGGAAATATTGTGCACAGCAGTACCTTCTGACTAAATTCATTGCTACCTAGTTTCTGATGATGTATATGCATGCTTATATTTCATTCTTAAATTTCCCAGAGAATCTACAAATTTAGTTTGTAGGTGATAGCCATAAACAAAATGTTGGATTATATATGAGGATGAAAAGAATATAAAAATCCAAGTATTTTGGTCAAAGTTTGGAAACACTGCTGTAGCTTTCCTAGGAAAATCTGTGTGCTTTGTTCTGTAGCTGTCCTTTGTAGGTCAGTCTCTCCTCCTGGGGAAAGCACCTATTTTCATACAAAAGTTCTGTTTAGTCAAAAACCACTTCTGCGGTGAGCATGCTCAAGTGTAATTTTCCATCAACCATTATACTAGCACAACAGTTGAGCCTGAAATTTAAATTCCTCTTAGCATGTACATTTTATAGTCTGATGTTTTTCATTCTACTGTCTAAACCTCTTTTACATGAAAGGATGCATCTCAAAGATATAGCTGATGCAGGGGAGAATAAAGTAAAAATCATTTGCAGTCAAGGATAAACCAGTCCTTATTCGTTAAAGCTGTGCTTTGGCAGCTGTTACGGTCTATCAGGAAAGGAACCTTGCAAACTAAACAAGGTACAATACCACAGCACGAAAATTAGAATTGTTTGGTTGAGTCCTACCTCTGCATCTCCAAAATTTAATCAGACTCTTAATGTTAGTTTGGCGTATTTTTCTTCTGGATTCCTTTTTTGGTGTTTAAAAGTAAAGAAGATTAATAAATATTTATAAAATTAAATCTGCTGGTGAAAACTACCAGGTAGTCTTTTGATGGAGCTCAGTGCAGCAAAGCTCCAGTTTTCCCCCAGGTGCAGCAGAGTTTCAGAGAAGTATCCATTTAGTCAAATGTGAGGTGTCCTCATAAAAACAATCACTTTGCAGAATGGGCTCCACTCATCTAGGAGCCCCAAAACCAGGTTCGTACCACTAACATCATTTTATCAGGAATTTAATCATACAGGCTTCTGTATTAACCATTACTAAGGCAGTTCCTGTACTATGATACCACAACAGTAACCCTTCCATCAAGCTCATAGGCAGTAGCATTGGTGGCATAAAAGATGATTTTATGTAGTATCTAAAAATAAATACATAAATAAATAATTTAAATGAAAGAGTATTTATTACCCAAGCCACTGAAGCACCAAGTATGCTGTATATTTCACAGAAAAAAAGTGGTTTCAGACAAGTCCTAGCTTCCCTCCTTTCTTAGATTTCTTCCAAAATGACTGAAAAAATTATTTTTTTCTCTTCTGGTTAGAGTATACATCTTTATGGAGGGTCTCCAACCCCCTGGATGGTGTCTGCACACCTGACAGCTCCAGCCACACACTGAGACACAGCAGAGGATAGGGCTTGCTGTCACATGTTTTAGACTCTCAGATTCAAATTAGGCAAGACTTCTGGGTTTAGAAATTAACTACTCTGTGACCCAGGAATATAAATTCATGCATCAATCAATTAGAGTTTATGTAGTCAAGCTTTTATCCCTAGCTAGACCTAAATTAAAATATATCTGAAGCAGGCATGCAAGGTAAAGTAGCTTGTATACAATTGGCAGACTTATTTTTACAAAACACTTAATCACACCATGTAAAGATCAGTTACATAGTTTGACAAATGTCACCTTCAACAGAAAAAAAATCATAATTTTAACATACTTTATTGACAATATTTTGTTACAATGACAAGACTATTTTTTGAATGCACCTTTCTTAACTGGAACAATGTCTCAATAGCAGTAATTGATGTGAAGTCATTCTGGGATAGCTTTCTGTCCTGTGTCAAATGAGATACATAAATAGTCATGGAGTGTTTCTACACATGCTTCAAGCCCTAGTAATTTTTATAGAACTACCTAGAATCCTGGCACTCAGAAGAATTTAATTCAAAGACTCTAACAATAAGACTGCCTGGTTGCTCTTATTTCATACTAGATTGAGGAAAATAAAAACCAAACCACCATGATTCATGTTTTCTACTCTTGCACTAGATCACCACTTTTCCTATTTTTTCTTGTCTCTCAGGCAATAAATACTTTCAAATGTCTTCCTCCCCACACACTACAGCTAAGTTAAAGACTGAGCCCTTAGGATTAAAGATGATTCAATACTGGTTTTTTCTACAAAATGTCAAAAAAAGCAAAGAAATTTGTTTCAGGAAGTCACTTTTCTTTGCTCTCTGAGAATATTAACAGGAGTATTTGAAAGAGTGTCCTTTCTTACCAACAACAATTTTGGTCTATTTATCTATGCAGCAATCTCTTGCACTGTTGAGGAGGGTAATGAAGAAGAATGAAATGGGGGTAGAAAGCAGTCAACTAATAAAAAGGTAAGTGAATAAACAAAAGACAGAAAGAAAACTCCAATTTCATGCTATATTTACAGATCTTAAACAAACTAAATTATCTATATTTAGAGTTTGGCCTTCATATCCCTGCTGATCTACAGCTTACTAAACAGCAAAATGTACACATTCTTCATTTCTTTATGACTTTCATGGTAGGATACAAGTAAATCTAAAGCTTCACATTGATGCATGAGTGTCTAAAACTTGGGTAACCACAGTCATGGATCATTGTAATTTCCTGCAGACACACCTACACGGAGCCCTGTCACCTGTTATGCAGAAGTTTTACACTTCTTATATGAATACATAAACTGATTTTTTACAGACAACAAAAAAGAGACCAATGCCAAGGCAAAGAAATAATGAAACATCCAAAAGTTATCTAGAGAATCCCCACTACCTTCAGGTTCAAGACAAAGCTCCTGCCAGCCAAAACTAGGGAAGGCATCTTCCCAGATGCTTGTCATGGTTGCTGTGGCCCTAAGTGTATAAGGGCACCAAGCAGGGGTCTCTCAGAATTATTTACCATCATGAACAGAGCCTTCCTAACTTACCCTATCATCTGACCAAATTCTGAATGTTCAAATGAATATTTTAAAAATAAGTGTAAATTATTCCAGACCCTCCTAGGGAATAAGCTGACTGGAGATTCAGCTAAAGCAGGTGATTCAATTCTACTGACTGTTTTCACAGAATGGTTTAGGTTGGAAGGGACCTTAAAGATCATCTCATTCCAACTCCCCCTGACATGGGCAGGGACACCTTTCACCAGACCAGGCTGCTCAAAGACCCATCCAACCTGGCCTTGAACATTTCCAGGAATGGGGCATTCATAAATTCTCTGGAAAGCTGTTCCAGTGCCTCACTACCCCCTGGGTAAAAACATTTTTTCCTAATAGCTAACCTAAATCTTCCCTCCTTCAGTTTGAAGCCATTCCCTCTTGTCCTGTCACTACACACCCTTGTAAAAATCCCTCTCCATCTTTCTTGTAGGCTCCTTTCAGGAACTGGAAGGCCACAATTAGGTAACCCCGAAGCCTTCTCTTCTCCAGGGTGAACAATCCCAATTCTCTCAGCCTTTCCTAATAGGGGAGATGCTCTATACCTCTAATCATCTTGGTGGCCCACCTCTGGAATCGCTCCAACAGATCAATGTACTTCCTATTCTGGGCACCCCAGAGCTGGATTCAAGGGAGAGTCTCACAAGAGTGGAGAAGAGGAGCAGAATGATATCCTCGACCTGCTGGCCACGCTGCATTTGACACAGCCCAGAACATGGTTGTCTTTCAGGCTGCAAGCGCACGTTGCTGGGTCATGTCCAGCCTCTCTTTTGTTATGTAGCTGCAAATGTTAAAAACATGCTAAGTGAAATACATATTTTGTCTGGGCATCCTTAAAAAAAAGAAAAAATAGAATATATAAAGCCATTGTAGGAAATGTTTTGCCTCTATTTTAAGGTTTTCAGAAACTGGTGCAGTGTCATGGTTCCAGTGCTACTCTTTTGAAACACCAAATTATTCTTACATGAAGGAACCTGCCTCTTTGAAACTGGAGATTTCTAACTTCAGCTTACATCTCCTGGATTTTGATGGAGGTAGGAGTGGAGAAGAAGGGAATATTTTCTGGCTTGGTTACCCCTTAGAGGAGATTGGGATAACATTCTCAGCAGTTGCATGTTTTATTTTCTTCTTGGTTAGATCACAGGTATTACTGAGTGTTGGGTTTGGGAGGGAGGGAGGTGTTTGTTTTTTTGACTAAGTTTTTTATTGTTACCCAGATGTATTATTGGAACATTCTCATGGGTTTGTGGGTGAAGAAATGTAGTTTGGAGTAAAAAACTATATGCTTACTGAGTCCCTTTTAAAGTCTGAGTGTATGCTGTCAAAATGTGCAGATTTGAAAATGTTTAATTTTAGTTGATAAATGTTTCACAGCTCCCTTTGCTAAAATTGGCAAGCTACCTACCACATCATATATGATGGAACTATTACCCTGCTTCGGAACAGGGCTGGGTCTTGAACCACTTGGCTCTGCATTATTATTTATAATCAACATTTAATAATAGCTATGTGTCTAAATGAAGCTCTTTTATTCCTCAGATAAGAGGATCTTTTCATGATTTTTAACCAAAGTAACCAGGGATATTTGATTATTCCCTTAAACAACTTCATCAGCCATCTCTATGACTAACACTTACTATATGTTCTATTGTGTTTATCATTTGCTTTCTGTTATTAATGCAATATTGGAATTAGCTCTCCTTTAAGTAGAATAGATTGTTACCCAGTGTAACTTCCCATTCTCCAGCTCTTTCTAAGAGTTTAAAAGTGTCTCAGTGTGGTGTTTCATCACAGATGTGCTCACAGCTCTTTGGACTGCTTTGGACTAGTCTTTGCAAGGAAGCTGCATGCAGTTTCCTAAGTGAGGTTTTTCCCATTTTTCCCAGAGAAGCCAAAAAAAAAAAACCAAACCCACACACGCCACCCCAAAAGTATTGATGTCACCTGGCATGAAGCAGAAGTGGCCTCTTCCAGCATTAGGCTGTCAGAGACCTCTTGGGTGTTTCATTTCACTTCAACACCAATAAGAGGCAGGTCATCAACAGCAAAGATCACAATGCGTGTTTCATCTAAAACTCATGAATAAAGCACAGTTCCTCTGAGACTCTGCTGTTATCATCATCATCATCATCATCATGGCCAGGCTTTGCGAACGAAGATTTGGGAAGGGCTCTACCCACATTTGTTACAAGTGCGTTGGTGGCTAAAAAGGCCAATACAATACAGGCACGTCCGGTTGCAAAAGGCACAGCAGAAAGACTCCTTAGGTGTTATATTCTGCAAGACACGATTCTTTCTGCATTGTCTTTTCTCCTCAAGGGTGATCCTGCGTGCTTTCTGAAAAGCATCAGCAGCATTATAGATGGTGTGTCTCCAGACCTCCCGACTGGAGGTCAGAGTAGACCAGTTATGTTGATCAATATGGCCAAGGCTGAGATGTTGTTTCAGGGAGTCTTTGTATCTTCTCTTCGGGGCTCCTCTCATGTGGCAGCCAGTGGCAAGTTCACCATAGAGCGCAATCTGAGGGAGGTAGTGGTCCTTCATCCTGGAGACGTGCCCTGCCCAACGCAGCTGTGTTCTCAGTAACATGGCCTCAATACTTGTGACTGCTGCTTGTTCTAGAGTCTGCTATTATATGGATTAGTAAAACACACATGAAGACAATATGGCAGTAGGAGGCAAAGGAAAGGATTCATATATATAATCAGAAAGGATATAAAGAAGATTTCTCTTACCTTGCACTCAGACTTCTGAAGCACTTAATGGCTCCTGTCTGACAGACACTAACTTAGAAATTACTGGCGCATATCTTACGCTTATGTATAACAGGGTGATATTCTACCAAGGCAACTCTGTCAGCACAAATAGCCATAACGGAAGAAAAAGCCTTCACATTAACTTTACTAGTGGATTATTTGGCTATTTAAAATTGCCATATTCAATCTTAGTATGTTACCTTACTTATGTATTCTAACATCAGCAATGAAAAGAAGTATGACCATGTAGAAAACCATCTCAGTTTAAGGTGTGTAAAGAAGTACTTCATTTTGTGACCTGTGTGCTGCAAAGCATGTGAAAAGGAAGTGAGTTGTTTGGAGCTGCTGCATGGCTAAAATAGCACCAGGAACTGCAAGTGCATGTATCAAATGTGCCTGGGGCTAATGGTTATAATTCCCTTAGAGCCCCAGTACTTTTGTATCTTTCTAGTATTGCCTTTCCATGACAGGCATCTCTTTTTGAAGAGGTGCTTACCTGGCATGTAACGCTATCGATCTTATCACTAAGAGTTGGTGTGTGGAGAAGGTAAAAAACTTTCAAACTTTAAGCTGAATAGAAAGCAACTTAGAGAGCCCTGTAAAAATTGTGCATTTTATGAACAATGAAATCCAGTGGAAAATCACTCAGTTCCTAAGTCACATTTAATAGTTCTGTTAAATTATGTCAATGTGACATAATGACAATTCAGGAAATATTTCAGAGCCTTTACATCACAAAAAAATGAAATCAGAAAACTATAAATATATCCATTTTTATGGTAATGAACATAATTGTACAACCCTGCACATTAATAGCTTCTCCAGTTTCTGTGGACCGTGAACATCTGCTTAATAATCTTAAAATAATTCAAATAGCCTCTCTGAGACACACCATCCTCTTACTGTTGTACATTTTGTTTTGCTGCAGGAGTCATGTGCCCACACAGATACATACAGGAAGATAAAATTGTCAGGAATAGGATAAATAAATCAGACTTTCCTGCTTAAATAAATACATTGTGTTTTCCTGAGCTAAATTTTTGCCTTTAGTTTGTCAGAGGTGACAATATTCACTCTGTCTTTCATATTCTGTACAGGTGACAATTAGTAATCAAGGAGTCAATAGTAAATACAAAATGTGTTATTTTCTGAAAGTATACAATCAATCAACAGATTTCAATATTGATACCAAAAGTGATTATTTTGTTCATTTAATTCCCACTATTTTGATCCTGATTTTGCCTTTACGTTCTGCTGTGAGAAACTTTCATGTGAATTTCATGCCCTTAACACTCTAGGATCACTTTCTCATGTATTTATATTTTGATTGCTTTTTTAGTGACATGAAATACTTAAATGAATCAAGGAAATCAATGCATAAACTGCTTTTTACTAACAGAAGCAAAAGGGAACCCACCCTCTTAGCGCTGAGCAAAAGCGTACTCACCCTGAAGGAATGCAAATTACTCTAGAAGGAAGTTTTGTAAATTTCGTATTGCTATGCATCTTGTACTTTTTTAAACAAGTTTTTAAAATAAACACAGGGATGTACACAATGTGATGAATCATACCAAGTATGGAACATTTTGTAGGAGTTTCATTATAACTATTCTGGAAAAGGTCACACATCTAAAAATTATTCGGTCAAACCCCAAAGAATACAAGG